TATATATATATATATATATATATATTTGTATGCATGATTATGAGTGAACTATTAAACAAATTTAAAGCATTTTCAAAACTACTTGAAATGAATGCTGTTATTATATAATGCATTTTGAAAACAAAAATGTTGGCCTATTACTAAAACAATATGATTAACCTATAAATTATTAAGCAGCTTTTTGATCTAAAAAAAACATTTAAAATAACATACAAAATAAGAGTAAATATGAAAATAAATAATGACATTTATCATATTTACAATAAAATTTCTAACAAATTTTTTTATCTGTTATAAAATATTATCTATAAGAAAAATTTAAGAATATATTAACATTAATTTTATGATATAATGCCACGTGCAGATTAAGATAAACAGTAATATGTAAGAAACTTATTGATTATCTTATAAAAATTGTTTTTGTGTTTTTCAAAATTCTAAAATATTTTTCTTTACATTTGGATGCAAGATTATCCAAATTACATCTACATTTAATAAGTTACATTAATTTTAGATAACCTTTATAATTTAATCTGAAAATTTTAAATTATTTAACAAGTATATGGATATGACAAAGATTACTATTAGAACATTTGAAGATGCTCAATGGTATTTACATTTAATAAAACATAAAAATGTAGAAAGATACAGAAAATGTTCAAACATTTGTCTTAATCACTAGTGACACAATCTTCATCTACAGAGAGGACTTTTTTTATGGAGGCTAATAATGCCTCTGCAATAATGCAAATTGGTTTAAACATCCTCTAGTGACATTGCCATTACTAAAAAACAAATGAAAGATGTTTGAAGACTTTCTGTATCTTCTATATTTTTATGTTTTATTAAATTATTATTAGAACTTGCATAAGAATCAATATCCAGAAGTTTATTTTGGCTGTAATGGTAAAATGAACACTGAGCCAAGGCAAATGCTACTTTATTGACATCATTTATACTGATAAATCATAAAAAAAATATTGCTAGTGTTTTTCTTTTCTAATATCTTGATATGATTATTTTAGATTTTTTTAAAAATCAGTTTCTTGAAATACTATAATGCAAATGACTGACTGATTAATATTGCAATATATAACACAAGTACATAACATTAATGAACAGAATTGAATGAGTTAAATGACTAATCACAGTCCAGCCTATTATAAGCAATACTGTATCAATTGACGCAATCTTGAAATAAAGTGAAGGATTAAAAACCACTTCTAATCAAAAGCTTGGATTTAAACCTGAATCTGCCAAGAACAATAAGAAAATACCTTATTGCCAAATGCTTAATACCAAATGATTTTCTCAAATATAGACTTATAAAGTGTGTTAACATAATAATACATAATGCTTTACAAATTTGGCAGTTGCCATTTAAGTACTTATATCCTATCCTAATCTATTTTGCTATCAAACTATAAGTATTTAATGATAACTATCAAATTATAAGTGTATTAATATTACCTATACTTTACTTTTGAATTTATATATTTTTCAATAAAATTCTATTACAAATATATTTATAAATAAAACAATAAAAAATAAATAAATTATGAAAAAATAAAACATTTTCCTGCTTTTATTAAAAATCAAATATCTCCCTACAGATTTTTAGTTTTAAAACATTTCATTAGAACTCTTGAAGAAAAAAATTTCAACACTATATTTGAATCTTACATTATTTATTATATTAATTATTTTGTTTTTAAAATATTACAGTATTATTATTACAACAGTGAATCAGTTTTTTACTTTTTCTAAAGTATATATGTAAAAATTTTAATTTAATAAGTTAAATATAACTTTTGATTGTTCTGACTGCAATATAACTCAAACATAACAAACAAATTTTACCAAATGAATATATGTATTTATGCATTTTTGTAGTTTGCAAATTGTTATTAATTAAATTGTCACTGTCAATTTTGTACACAATTGAATAGTTGCTTTACATATTTTTCAATCATTTTTATAATTATTTACATTGTCTAGTTAGTTAATAATATTTCAATAGTTTAAATATTTAGTATCATTATAACACAAATTATGCTACAATGGAATATTAAATAGTATTAAGGGCTAAAAGCAATATAGCACTTAATCTAAATAAATAGACACATACAGGCTTATCAAACCAGTGAATGAGATTAATTCACAAATTCTTTAATAATTATTAATACCTTAATAAAGGTGTTTTAACATGTACATAATAAAGAACACTCAAAATGTATTCCAGACACAATAAATAGTCCATCTTAGGTTGGTATTCATACATCAATAAACATTATAAAATAAATTAAAAATACATTAAAAGGCCAAATTGTGAAATTATTATACTTGTTGAGATATCACCTGTGATATTTGTGAAGTCATCATGTTTACAATGGCCTTTTAATGTATTTTATAATTTATTTTATAATGTTTATTGATGTATGAATACCAACCTAAGAGGGGCTATTTGTTGTGTCCAAAATGCATTTTGAGTGTTCTTTATTATGTACATGTTAAAAGAGCCATATTTTATTTTTATTAAGTGTTAATAATCATTAAAGAATTTGTGAATTAATCTCATTCACTGGTGTGATAATTCCACATGTATGTCTCTATTTATTTAGAGTAAGTATTAAACAAATTATGCTATGTTATAAATTTCAAATTATATTTTTTCTCATTCTAAAAATTAAAAAAAATTGCAAATTAGCATTGCATTGTTTAATATATTAACAAAAGTAATACTATCAGAATCAAATCAATACATATATTAAAGAAACCTTAGCAAATTTATGATAAAATTGATTATAAATAAGAAAATATTGTAGTTATGAAGAAAAAATTAAATGATTTAAATATATTTTCATGAAACTATATAATTCAACTACTTTTATACATGCATCATTAAAATTAAAAAATGACAGCTCACCGTAAAACCATCATTCATTTCACTAAACCAGGTATACACACTTCTTCCTTTGTAATATGATTTTTTGGGAATCTATTTAAAAAAAAATAATGTTTGAATATTTATATAATAAATTCTATTTTTATTTAATAAAATAAATTTTTGTTATATACATATTTATTAACTATTAGAATTAATATATTTTATTGTAAATATACTTACTTCATTAGATATAGGATACAGGCATGTAGCTTTATTCTCCATATCACAATAAACTTCAATGGCATCTTTGCTTGTTCCCTGATTAGGATCTATCCAATAAATTCCTAAAAAAAAAAAATTTGATTGTAAATGATCCAGGGTCATTATTATTCAATTCTGATATTGCAATTCCTTTTTACTTCGTTATGAAATGTACAATATTACAAGGACTATGATGGCTACTCATTGAATACTTCTATTTTTAAAAAAACTAGCTTGGGTTCCAAGATAAAAAATTTATAAGGACCTTGATAATTGGAATTAAACTTTTATATAATAAAAAATAAGTTTCCCTACATTTCTTAATAATTTTGCTTTTCAAGTTTAGATAATTTTGCTAACAAAATTTGAAAAATACATATAAACTGCACTTAAGTAAAGAGAAATAATAACAATTAATAGGTATAAAACTAGTCTCTTTTTAAAACAGTATTGTATATAATTTAGAATAAGCCAAAAAGATAAGCATTATTTATTAGGCTGCAATTTTCAAACTACAGATCTATAAATTCCCAATGGCACCATCTGTCTGATTGTCTTTCATTAATCTCAAGAACGGAGTTAGATAGATAAAGTTCAATTATGGAAAGCTTAGGGGCTAGAGACCCTGATTAACAATATATGAACTTCCAATCTGAATTGAAAATCAATGATTTCAATTCAAAACTTTTCTTCAGCATGGAGTTAGATAGATGACCAACATGACTATTGTTATCAGAAAAAGTATGATGTATAGGTATAAGACACTATAAACTCAAGAGCATATATTATAAATTAGTTTAAATTAAAGATGATTAAAAATTGTGGCCCTGCATTGTGATATGTCACAATAAATAATTGTTCATATTAATAATGACTTTCTTCTGTTTTTAAATGAAAAAATATCAATTATAAATATCAAAAATCTAATACCATTGCTATTGAATAAGTCAGTGGTTCCCAATTATTTTTTCCTGCGTACCACTTCAAGAAAGAGCTCAAACTTTATACGTACACCTTATAGCAGAAATTCATATTAATTAATNATCAAAAAGTTCAAACTACTATTTGAAGTAAATGAAAAATAATTATATCTTAGCAGGATAACTTCTTAACAATTATGAATGAAAATAAATTTGGAAAGCAAAAAACATGAAATGTGTATTTTCTACTTTTTCAATTCAAAATTCAATTTGGATATATTTTTTTGTTTTTATTAATTATTTTATTAGACAGTTTCTCTCTGGTGTGTCTAATCTTATCCCATACTATAACTTTCCATTTCTTATTCTGAAAAATAACTTTTTAACTTTTCAAATTTGTATTTTTTTCAAATTCCTTCTTTTATATGACACATCTTATCTGTAAGTAAAGTTTATAATTTCAAACTAACACTTAATATATAGCCAAAATACACATTAAATATATAGCATATAGTATAAATATACATTTATATAAGGTAACATAGCAATAACAATGCATATTAAATTTTTATTGGAGATTAACTTATGTAAATGTTTGCCTTATTATGGAAAATAATATATAAAAAATTTAAAATACACATATTAAATTAATACTTCTATGTTCTTTCTATTTTTATACAGTAGAAGAAATTGATAATGAAAACATTTAAAACCAATTAAGTTTAACTTTTAAAGCATGAAATTGGCCTAAATCAGTCTTATCCATTCAAAACAAAATTGGCCAATAAATAAGTTGTTTGGTTTTGTTATAAAAGTTTCCCTTGTAGCCTGAGGGATAAAAACAATTTAGTCTCTAAAACATAAATAAAATTACATTTCAGAGCTTAAAGAGTTAATAACAAAAATTTATAGATTAAGACTAATAACTAAATTAGTATTAAATTAGAAAAAAAACTCGCTGGTAAAAAATTTCATTTAATTATCCTTACCATTTGGAAGCTCTGGTTGCATCTCAGAAAGATCACGGCATGTTCTTGCTGGAGCATCTGGTTTACCTGTTGGTCTTCTAAACTTTTTATATTCATTTACCATTTTATCATAAAATTTGAAAACAATTCGTTTTTTCTCTTCTGGTGGAGTATCAGAAGAAAACAGTTGTAATGGTTCATCTCCAAGTATAGGATCTGGTCCCTGAATTAATAAATTATTTAGTGTTTTAATTAAAATTTTAGACATAAATTAAAATATTATTGAAAACTTTTTATTCAAGATCAAATGAAAACTTTTATTAACTTAATAAATAAGTTAAATAAATAATGTGATTTAAAAAATCAATTAATTATTATTATTGTTCATAAGGTGTGTATTTATATATGTATATTTTATATATATATGAAATGTAAAATATCACTCAAATAAATTAGCACCTCTTCACTTTTGCTTACCTTGACTTGTCTACTTCCTAAAAGAGCTTGTAATGCAGCTGCATCATAACCAAATGATTCACCTGGTGGACCTGGTGGTCCTGCAGGTCCAGGAGGACCTGGCAATCCATTTTTGCCACTTTCTCCAGATGGTCCTCTTGGTCCAGGTAACCCTTGAGGACCAGGAATACCAGGATTACCATCTCTACCTTGAGGTCCTTTAGGTCCAGGAGGACCCTAT